TTATCCACAATGGGAAGTGTAGCTCTAAAAACACTCCTACAATGCCCTCCTGCTGTAAACCACATCAGGTATTTGGAAATCTCTCAACTTCCATCTAGGAAAGTGTATTCTGCTGACACAATGAGAAGATATTTTAATATTTTATTAGAAATTAACAGCTAAAACAGATATTTTGGTTATCTATTGTGTAAGAATTAACAAACTAAGTGATAAAAAATGCCCATAAGGAAGCACCTATCTTTCCTACTAATTGTTGAAGAAATACCTATGTTTCACAAGATTAATAACCATTACCTTTAAAAAGTCATTTTTTGTAAGAAGGAAAAGGCTTCTTTAAGTTGGTAGGAAAAAAATGCCTGTGTTGCCATATATGAAGAAGAAATAAAACTAAATTGAAATGAATGTTGGGGGTGGTGCCTTTGGCTCAGTTGGTAGGGCGCTGGCCCCATATACCAAGGGTAGCAGGTTCAAACCTGGCCCCAGACAAAGTGCAACAAGAAAATAGCAGGGTGTTGTGGCAGGCACCTGTAGTCCCAGCTACTTGGGAGGTGAGGCAAGAGAATCACCTAAGCCCAGGAGTTGGAGGTTGCTGTGTGCTGTGATGCCACAGTACTCTATGAAGGGTGATAAAGTGAGACTCTGTCTCTAAAAAAAAAAAAGAGAAAAAAAATGTCAACTTTCCTCATAGAAAAAGAAGCCATCTCTGTTTTAGGTATAATTCTATCCAGTGTGCATAGTTTATATGAAATTTTCCCCAAAATTCTAGTCAATGAGCATGTTTTCCTGTTTTGTCTTTAGATATTAAAATTCCATACTGTCATTTTCCTGTGAAATTTTATTTAAATTGACATGCGCATTAAAGATATCAGACAATGGAAAGAGATTTGAATCTAAGAGGCTTGACTCCCAAAGAAACACAGGAGAATCTATGGTGTGTGTATGTGATTAAACTATAGGCATCACTTATCTCCTCAGCAAATGTGGTGGCAGATGTCCTCCTGAAGAAATTAGCTTCACCTTATCACTCTGGCTTAAGGAACGATTGTCCTTGATTTAACATGGCACCTTACACACAGTCATTCTTGGCTTAGCTGCATGTGAAAGTTTCAAGAAGTCAGTATATTGAGGGTATTTAAATCTAGTGTCCTTGTATTTGGGGAAGAGATAGAAATGGAAGGTGCAGTGATTCCTTAGAAAAATCTAAAACTTTTACCTACAGACATCTTGGCATGAGGAGATTGGAAACCAATGTCTCAGCCCTTTGTTTTCCTTCTGCATTTCCTTCTTTGCTTTCCTGATGCCACCATCATGCTCTTCCTCTGGACCAGAACTCAAACTAATAGTACAATGATAGGAAATTGTGTGGCACATTTAGAAAGTCAGTGTGGTTTGCCTGTTTTCCCTCATCTACTGTGCTAGAATGTGGTCAAATTTAGACCCTGCTTATGAGGGCGGTGATCATCACTGCCCGGCATTCATCTTCAATATCCACACAAAGGGCCTAATTGTGGCAATTCCATCAGTATTTGATTTTCATTTTCCATGCAATTTCTTAAATTTTCTGGGTGATTTCGATGTAGAACAATGGATGTGTGCTTGTATCACGAATTGCCGAAATACAGAATTTTAACAAGAAATGCTATTTAGGCACATTACCTTAGTTGACCACGTGGGATTTTGTTGCCGGAGGGGGAAAAAAATCTGCATTATTTTTTCTCTTTTTATTCTATTTAGAAATATAGTAGAACCTCCCTATTGGCCATCTGTTGAAGCTGACCTAATTTCTACAGACCAGACATAGAGTATATGTATGTGTCAACACAGTAGGCCTAGTTCCTGATGTTGACCAGTTTATTGTATGTTGACCTTGAATGGTCAATGTACAGAGGTTCTAAGCTATAGTCTAAGAAATGAATGCTCAGGTGGCTAGATTGGTGAGGATGATTGTAGGATGCTCTCTAGGGCATCAGGCAGTGCATTAACTTACAGATTAGGCCAAATTAAGCACTGTCACTTAAACTTACTTAGCAAAAAACTATCATTTATCATGCAGGTTAGATGGAATTCCTATCTAAGAACCCGCATGATAAATTGTATTCAATTTGTCTCTGGATTGCTTTTCTATTGGTTACTTCTTTGTTTGCAGTAGTTTTGAATAAGAACCTGATTTCTAGGCTTCACTCATTTAACTGTTTAGTTCAAATGAACCACTTTTCTGATATTTTAATAGAAATTAAATATAGACCTTTTGAATTATCTCTCAGTAAGAATATAGTCAGATTCTCCTTGTTCTTATTTTGAAAGTACCTGTGAAATTCAAATCAATAAATCTCCTGGACGATTGATGATAGTTTTCAACTAACAGTATTACATTGTTAGTGAATTACTCCAGTTATGTGTGCTTTTGGCCATATCTCTTCAAATAATAGTTCCTGTATTAATATTGTTATGAAAACATTTCCTTCACTTTGTTAAAGACGTCAACAGTAAACTAACTACTGGGAGATAACTGACTTAACTCATTGGGAAAAAAAAATGTATCTTATAAAAATTCTGACTTATGAAAAAATTACTTTCAATCTGATTCATAGTCAACAATGTGTATTTTATGGTCTTGGGTAATTTATAGATTTTATTAATCCACAGTTGTATTATATGATCCTGTTTATTAAAAAATATATAATGTATATTATGATACGTGTGAAGCCCTATCATAAAAAATGACTGATTTAACTAACATAGCTTATCTGTCTAGATTACCTAACAAACCAGAACTTGTATGTTTTCTAAATTATTAAAAATTGCAAAGATAAGGATACCTCAGCTGTAGAATACTACAGCTAGGTACATTTTTTTTCTTAATTATATTTTATAGTCCTTTAATCCTTAGAAATATTATATTCATCCTTTGAGAAATGTCTTCAAAACTCACAGGAAAGATTTTATGAATGAAACTGAAAACTCCACAACTAATTCTTAGATTTTCTCAAAGTGCATTCACATTTCGGAAGCATTTCATGTTACATTGTAATGCCCCCAAATTGATATTTTAAACTTGGAACAATAGGCATGCTTAATGGATGATTTGATAAAATAATTTTGTATAATTTCATTTTGAATTCATCATTATGAGCCTATGATTTTGTTCCAAAACATTTCGATGACATATTTTTTGGGAATTCACATTATGAAAACACATTGAAGTTTAATAAGATTACCTGCTATTGACTCAAACTCAGATACTATAGCTTCTTTCAATTGGCAGAGAATACGAAGACAGAATATAGGAGGAGACAACTGAACAAACAAATAAGCTGTTTCTACATTAAGTGAATATTCAGATAACACAAAGTGTGGTCTTTTTTCTAACCAAATGGATAAACGCTCAATTAGCATACATTTATTAAAGAGCCTACTATATGCCTAATATTGTGCTAGACGCTGTGAGGGTCATGTAGGTAAAATAATCCTAGTTGGAGTCCTGGTGGAACTTTTCCTCTTAGAGATGTGTATGTACAACAGGGAGGAAGCTGGAGTGACTTGGTGATGAACTTTCAAGTCTATTATCTCAAGACAGGACGATGTCCAGTAATAAAAATAGGTTTACAAGTGGTGTAGTTAAATAATGAGATGATAAGGACCAGTACTAGTAGGTAACGAATGTTGATGCACATTTAAAGTGAAACTGTCTTTTGAGGAAGGCATGTGGGTTTGTGTGTACCATCTATGATTGTTTTGAAAAGCACAGCCTCCTTTTGTGACCTGCCACAAGGTCCACAAACCTGTCTCAGGATAGCAGTCCCCACTCAAATGGTGAAACACGATAAAAGGCTGGGCAGCTCTCTCTGCTATGGGCATTACAAACTGCAGAGGCATACACCTCCTCTACGCTGCGGTTGACTCTAGATTTTCACCCCAAATACCGTGCTGTCATAGATACAGCTGCCAGAATTCTTAGGGCAGCATGTCGAACACATTTGTCCTTATATCTTGTGTCTGCTTAGAGTGAATTGCTTTTGCCTTGTGTTTTCTAACATAAAGATTATATTAAGAAAATTTCTTTAAAACCTCATGAGTTTTAAGAGTAAGCTTTCAATTTCAATTTTTCATTTTAAACTTCCTATATTAAACAGAAAGGGCTCTTCAAAGTCACCCTCCCCGAAGTGATTAAAATCATTTAGGAAAATTGTGACTAGAAAAATAAGCAAACATTCCTATGTTTGAACTTTCCACCTCTATGCTGAGTTTCATTTGACTCTGAATGTCAAATGAGTGAGTGAGTCTTTTGATGTCTGTCTTTGCTTTTGAGTCAGCTAATTTTTAAGATAAAAGATTCAGTATTACTGCTTTACACAGCCTTGCTTTCTTGCATATCTATCACTGATAAGAATGTTGTTTTTTCCAGGATATCTTGAAATGAACGACATTTTGGTGTTTAAATATTCAAAAGAAAATATTCCTGTTTAATTAAAAGAAAATTTAAATGGCCGGAGAATGTGTTTTTTAAAAAATCAATGTTATTCTAGAAATGTTTCAGTAGGCATCTAGTAGAGGTCTCCAGAATTATTTTCTTTATCTTTCAATGAGTAAGTTATTACACGTTGGACTAATTAACACTTAACAGATCTTGTCTTCTCACTAATTACAAGTGGATCGGTTAGGATTTGGGCAGGAAAGATACTCTCGTGCTTGTCTCTTAACTTTATTATTCATATAGATGATACGGTGCATTTTTCAATTTATTTTGGAGTGCCACTATTTCAGATCGCTTCCTGGTATGCAGTATTTTGTTTGCTCTAACAATTGGTTGTTGGAGGTTCTTATAAATACAAGATCAAGTTATTGGATATAGGGACAGAATTGTTACTAGTGAAAAAAATGTTGCAAGATGGAGATTTGTCCATCTTCTGTGTACCAAGCGTGCTTGTTTTGAAAAGGACCGCCTCCCTTCATGTTAAGAGTGATCTCTTGACTCTCTTCGGCCCCTCCCTTCCCTACAG